TTTAGGGTTCAGGTTTCAGGGTTTAAGGGTTTGCATGCTATCGGTGCCTTGACAATTGGAGTAGGGTTCCGTATGCAGGGTTCTACAAGGGCTTCTACAAGGCCTGTAGGCTCTTAGTATCACATCGGGGCCTTGACGGCTTTGGGGACGATTATAGTTAGTTGTATGAAAGGGCCCCCTACAGACTGACGAGTAGAAGAGGGCCCTTGGAGGCTACTGGAGTATACTTGTATGAAGAAGCCGTAAGGTTAAGGACGTCTAAGGACTAGTAACCTTGGTCATGATTCGACCGTTGATAGGTCGACATCATACTCCCTTTGTCTCGGGGTTCCTATGTACGAAGGGTATGGTCTACCCCCCAAAACATCCCAAAACCATACTTCAATTCTGAGTCAGCCTAAACAGGGCATAAGTCAATAAGTCACGAACAGTAAGTGCCCTCAGCCCTCGACGCTCTAAACGGGAAGTGGTGGAAAGAAGCTTCCGTTCCTCCGAAGCGAACCCTAAACCCTAAACCCTAAACCGTCCTAAACCCTAAACCGTAAACCCTAAACCCTAAACCACCCAAGCCGGGCAGATAGGTTGTGCCGTTGTGGCGATCCCGGGTTCTGCAAGTCTCGTCACCCCTGCGTTCTACTGGGGTTCTTGTTTAGGGGTTTAGCTTAGGTTACCATGACAAGGCAACCATAGTATGTACTTGTAGATCCCTATCATGGTAACTTAAAATACATCCCATGGCATAGATCCCTATCATGGTAACTTCAAGTAAAAACCCCTTATTATAGATCCCTATTATGGTAACTTAGAATACATCCTTATTATGGATCCCTATCATGGTAACTTAAAATACTAAGCCCTAAACCCTAAACCCTAAACCCAGTCTATACCCCCGGGAATGCTAAGCTCTGACACCGAAGCCCGACAGCTACGGAAAGGTGAAGGACATGAAGCCCGGAAGCGTCATCATCGACCTGGCCGCTATGGGTGCCCCCTCCAAGAGCAGGGTTTAGGGTTTAGGGTTTAGGGTTAGTAGGGGAGCTGTATGGTACTTCGGAAGTTTTTGCCGTTCTTTCCGTCAGGGCCTTTAAGGGTTTTCTCACAAGAGAACCAAACCGACGCCAGCTTCAGGCGTTTCACGTCGTGGCTTGAGCAAGCTCGAAACTGCTGATTCTGAATCCTAAACCCCTAAACCCTAGCTAAACCCTAAACCCTAAACCCCCCAAAAAACCCTAAACCCGTAAACCCTAAACCCTAAACCCCTAAACCCCTAAAACCCTAAACCCTAAGCTCAACCTGGGCACGTGGGGATCTGCCACCACGTGAACCCCTAGCCAACCGCCTCAGCTCCCCAAACCCTTTATCCCTAACCCTTAAACAGGGTTTAGGGTTTAGGGATCAGCCCTCTAAAATCTTTGAACTCTAAATCAACCCCATAGATACGGTCAGGGCTTAGGGGTGCAAGGTTTCCAGAGAGAGACCGGGCAGGTGGTGGTAACTGCACCTTGACGAAAGCTGGCGAGAAGTACACCACCGACAACGGGGTCCGATCCCCAGGGGGCTTGCGGAGGACCTCTTGTTAGGTTCGGATTTTGGGGTTTTGGGTTTAGGGTCGGAATTTTGGGTTTGGGGTTTAGGGTTTGGGGTTTTGGGTTTAGGTTTAGGGTCTAGGTTCGGGGTTTAGGATTCGTGTTGTGGGTCTATCATGGTAAGGCAGGTTCTTAAGCATCCGCCAGGTGACGATCGTGGGCTACACAGACTTGGCCGGACGCATGGGTGAGCAAGCCTCTGCAATGCAGCTGGGCCGCAAGGCCTTAGGCCGTGAACCCATATCCACCACACCCCTGCACTCGAAACCCCAACACCCCAAACTCTGAACCCTAAACCCCAGCACCCGCTTCCGCATGGGGTCCACTAATATCGGGGCCGTGATAATTACCTATACTCCTTTGAGGGTTTTAGGGTTCAGGGTTTGGGGTACCTTAAGAGTGGGGATTCCTTATTATAAAAGAGCGAATAACGTACCCCAAAACCCTATTCTAATTATTCATGCCCTACATTAAACAGCCCGGAACCCCGATCCAGTCATGTAGGGGCCGTAATGATTAGAAAAGGGTTTCATAGGGTTCCTTTAAAGGGTTCCTTAAAGGGTTCTATAAGAGCTACTAAGCGGCTACTACAAGAGTTTGGGGTATAGGGGCCTTAAGAACTAGAATCGGGTTTTGGGCCCCTTAATACTACTTAACCCCATAATAATATTAAGGAACGCCAAGGAATAACGACCCTAAACCCTAAACCGTATAAACCCTAATCCGATCCATTTATTTAGGCTTTTGCCAGTACCCCGATGCCTTCTTCTCGCCGGGGGCAGCTGAGGTATGCCACGAACATGATGCACATGGCCTGGATCCCAGAGTGTACCCTAAAACCCTAAACCCCTAAGGGGTCTATTTACCCTAAACCCCTAAACCCCTAGGAGATTTGTTTACCCTAAACCCCTGAACCTTTAAGGGGTTTATTTACCCTAAACCCTAAAGCTTTAAGGGGTTGAGGGTTCAGGCCCGAGGATTCTCTCGGTGTTCATCTTCCGTCGGTTTTTGGAATCATGGTCCTCGGCTGTTGCTTGTTACCGATGTTATTCATTGCTATCATTGCCAGTAGTATTAATACATTATTCGTTCATTGATGGCTGTTGGACAAGGTCACTACACAATTTTGCACTTGACATTGTATCTTAGAGTCACCAAAATGGTCAGGTTCTTATGCATCTGAACTTCTCTCCTCGTCGTCCTATGTTTCCTTGCTTGTTTTCCTTGCCGAGTGCCTTGCGCCACCAGTGCCAGGGCCCTAGCTCCTAAGCTCAAAAGTTAAGAGCCTCCGGCTCAGGCCGCCGACCCCGTGGGCGACAGACCAGAAGCCGAATCCCTAAACCACGCGGTGGGGGGAGGGCAGGGGGCAGGACCGTGGGGGAGGAGGGAAAAAGGGAGGTTAANNCATCGAATCGAGACCCATCCAACACGCCGCCAAACCCAAACCCTAAACCCTCAAACCCTCAAACCCTCTAAACCCCAAATCCCCAAACCCTGAAACCCTAAAACCCTGAAGCCCTGCACCTGCGACTGCGAGGTGAACCACATCACAGGCAAGGAGGGCGCGCCCGCCTTCATGCCAAATGTCAACAAGGCCCTGGAGAGCGACCAGGTGCACCGGAAGCCCTGGAGACTGCCTGGGAGCTTGGGAGCTGGGGTTCGGGTTTTGGGCGTCTTTGGGTTTAGGGTTTTGGGTTTAGGGTTCATTGGGTTTGGGTTTTGGGTTCGTTGGGTTTTGGGCTTAGGGTTGTGGGCTTTGGGTTCGGGTTTTGGGCGTCTTTGGGTTTAGGGTTCATTGGGTTTTGGGCTTACGGTTGTGGGCTTTGGGTTTGGGGTTTGGGGTTTAGGGTTCATTGGGTTTAGGGTTCATTGGGTTTTGGGCGTCATTGGGTTTTGGGCTTAGGGATTTGGGGCTTTGGGTTTAGGGGGTTTAGTCTTCAGGTCCAGGGGTGTGGGGGCAGGGGTTTTAGGTATCTCGGGCACTCCACGATGCTGCCGGATGCATCACTTTCTGCTCCTTCGGCTGCCTAAACCCTAAACCTTGAACCCCT